ATATATATACACAGTAATATATATTAATACTTAAAGATTGTTATATATATTTTTTATTAAGTAATAAATAAGTAAGTAAAATCTTGAAACGAATATTATAATTGTTGATATCTTCAAGCAATTCTCTTCTCAATATTTAACAGATGAGAAAAGTGTAATTCTTTCTGAATGTACAATCTTAATTGCTACTTATAAAATTATACTCTAATTATACTCTCGTATTTTCTTGAAAACTAAAACATTACACTTACATTGCGCTTAAAATAAATTGACTTGAATAATTTTAGATAACAAGTCATATTAATATTGCCAATGGAAAATATCGAAATTGCAAAATTATAACTTCTCATAAAAATTCGTAAATATATTGTAATTTTCTTCTTATGTTTTTTTAATCAAATGTATATTATATGTGTTTATTTATTGAAATTATTGAAAAATAATTTCGTTGATCCATGAAAATAATTATGCAAGTTGTTCAAATTAATTATTAAAATATTAAAAATTTTGCAGTATCATCATTATAATTAAACATTCGACATAATTATTTTGGTGGTCCAACAAACTAATTTTTAGATTTGTATGTGATTAAATTTTTATAATTTCAAGAAAATCGTTCTTTCGATGTACACCACATAGAAAGCAATTTTTCGCAAAAATCTCAAGTACAGTACAAATTCTGATTTAAGATAGACACGGGAGAGACAAACGAACTATATCTGTAATTTTTTTCCTTTTGTATATATATATATATTTATTGCAGAATATAATAAATATGTGCTAATAATTCAATCCGATTCTTCGTAGGATCTACTTACAACGGAGGATGGGACGGGTGGTACGGTCCATCTGGCAGAGAATGGGTCTACGACGTGAACGGTGTGATCAACAGCACGACGGCACATGCAGTTGCCAGTGTGGGATTGGGTGTTACCGCGGAAGCTGTTCGGATGCTGCGTGAAAACGCGATGATCAAGTGTCCGCCGCGGAACGACAGTCTGCCTGTCTGCAGACCGCTGGTAGAAGCGTGTCTATTCAACATTTATCAGGACCCTTGCGAGGACAATAACCTTGTTAAGCAGTGAGTGGAATTGGAAGACTTGGCTACGTCATGTCATAGAAACTTTATTTCATTTTAATCTGCAAATTACCGTGCGCTTATAATTACGTTATTTTATTTTATTTTTTTTTCTATATATATTATCGTCGTAGGTTTCCTACGATCGTCGGAAAACTTCATGACGAGCTGAAGAAGTTCAACAGTACTGCGATTCTGCCTGGAAATCTTCCGTGGGACAGTAAAGCTGATCCTCGTTTATGGGACCATACTTGGACTAATTTCAGAGATTTAATTACTAATGCTATGATAAATGACTGATTATGGCAAAGATTTCGTCTTTATTTACTCCTGCAGAATAATGTATAATTCATACACGGATCTGAAGACGCGCTGTCACATCTACATAAAAAAAACTTATAACAACTTTGTTATATTTAATTTTTTTACCTTCATCTATGCATTAATAATAAAAAACGTATATCATTAATAAATCATAAAAGTATCTAACAATGTTAAATTAAAAGTGTTATTTATAGTGCGATTTATCCACTGTTTTGTTGCTCAATTTGTTAATGTCATTATATAGCAAAGACTTTAATGTATTTAGAAAAGAAATGTATGTGTATAAAGAATTTTAGTACGAACGAATAAATCGAGACATAAAACTGGTGACTGCTTTGTTTATTCTTAATGTGCTATCAAATAATAGCAGTATTTCGAAATAGGGTAGAATATCCTTTGAGCCACTGCGTTATTTTACTGATCATTTTCTAATATCATCGTTATTAGATTTTATTTCTTGATACGCCTCCATCACCTTGGCGCACCTGAAATACAGAAGTGCCTAACTTTCATGCATTTTTTATTTTATTTATTTTATTTTTTATTTTAAAAATCAATTGAGAGGTTATTTATGTTAATATTATATTATATTTGGAGATTATTTATATTTATATTATATTTATATTTATATTGCATAAGCTTTCAGTATCATGGATCGCAAAAATTATTTTTAATTAGTTATCGGTAGTTATTTTCCAAAAAAGACTCAAGAGAGAAATAAGATAGATTAATTCAATGATTACGATCCTTGTTACTGAAAGGAGTTTCGAGAACTCGTTCTTTCTCCTTGCAATTGCTTTACCCGCAGCGGGAGGGAACCCATTCGAGACCACTCGTGCAAATCTCCTCAGGTTTGTTGCAAGTGCATTTGCACAATTTTTCATCCCACACCATATGGCGCGCTTTATTGCATTCCTTTTTATTCATACACTCGCACGCGCAGTTATCTTCCGAATATACCTGATTGATGTTGCAATGGTGTTTCTTCACGCTGCATTGACATCTGAAAAATCGTATTTTTCAACAGCGAGTGTAGAACGGCGTATGACGTTATTTTTAACGTTGCGGTTTATGTGCTAACTATTTTCCTGATTAAGAACGCTTTCATTTTTCCATGTTAACTGTTAATCTTCTCAGAATTCTAATTATAAAATAATATTTAAGTTAAAGAGATTATACAATTTCAATATATTTAAAAAAAGTTTATTATAAATCATAATTAATATTCCCTATTAAAGTCAATTTAGTTCAAACATTAGTTTAAAAATACAATGATTGAAAATACAAAATTTTTGTATGCATTATTTATGCGACTAAACACTACAGACGCGCGCTACGTACGCGTCATTAATTTTTTCAAACGCAAGAAGAAACGCAAAAATGAAGAAATGCACACCATAGAATACTATCTTACTTGCACTTGGTGTGCTCCTCCAGTAACACGTGATAACACGAATTGTAACTGTCCATTCTCACGACAATCTTTTTAATATTTGTCTGGACTGGCATACACGATTTGTTTCTTGGACAGAAACCACCGCATCTCTTCACCGAAGCGTAATTTGGATAAAAAATGTTGCCCGGTTGAGGTATTAATTTTATCATGGTATGCCTCGGCACGCACATCACCTCTTTCATCTGAGCATTTAATTGCATACGTCTCCCTGCGCATCCTGTTAAGAAATTCGCGGGGATTTATTTTGAAAGAGTCAACCATAGCTTATTCACGCTATCGGATCATTTAAGGAATGATCATGGGATATAAAGCGCTCTCATGCGTTCAACGTGAATACGCTGTGCTTTGCGATAAGCAAGAGGTCAACGATTATCGATCTATTCATAATAATGATTGAATTCTGAGAACTTTGTTAAGCAACTTTGTGTCTTTTCCTCGTAACTGCCTTCTTGACACAAATATTTGTATACTGATTTTTAACATAAAAATTATTTAATTAAGAATTTCATATATATTGTATGTGTATATATTTAATAAATTCAAATTCAAGAACATTCAATATAGCTAAAAATGTAGTGTGTGTGTGTGTGTGTGTGTGTGTGTGTGTGTGTGTGTGTGTGTGTGTGTGTGTGTGTGTGTGTGTGTGTGTGTGTGTGTGTTGTGTTGTT